GAATTCTGTCTCTAATGGCCAACCAGATGTCTCCTCTCAACAGTAAGTCTTAATAAGCTCCCTCCAGCATAGAATATAACAAGTGCATGTTCAAATTTGTAGCTAAAAGTTGCTATATTTTGGGAGGGAGGTACTCCGTCCGTTTAAGATTATAAGACGTTTTGACTTTAGTCAAAGTCAAATTGCTTCAAATTTGACCAAGTTTGTAGAAAAAAAAAATATTTTCAATTCAACATAAATTTATTATGAAAATATATTTAATTGTTAATTTAATGAAACTAATTTAGTATTATAAATATTACTATATAAACTTAGTCAAATTTGAAGTAGTTTGATTTTGACCAAAGTCAAAACGTTTTGCAACCTGAAACGGGGGAGTAGTAATTAACAAATAGAGCACAAAGCTAAAAGTGATATACAACACTTACCCGCAGTCTCCTTTCCAGAGTTAGTCTCAGAGTAAGATCATCCAACTTTTTCTCAAGTTTATTCTTCGCCTCACGCAGTGCATCTGCTTCATTTGCAGCCTATAACATAAAACAAGCACAAGGCTGTGTTCAAATGAACGGTTTGGGTTCAAATGTACGAACACACACCTACAACACACACTCACACCCCACTCACATCACACGTACATTACCAGACCTACAACTACACTCAGACTAAACCACCGCGTCATTGTAGGATTAGTATGCCTTACCTTAGTCTATACTTACCTTAGCCAAGAGCCCAACAACAAATTAAGGAACATGCGTATGACTTCTAAAGAGAGCTTACCTATTACTACCTCTGTTTCAGGTTATAGGACTTTCTAGCATTGCCTATATATATATATATATGATAATGAATCTAGACATATATGTGGGCAATGCTAGAAAGTCTTATAATATAAAACTGAGGAAGTATTTATTTACTATCCTAGCACTGTTCCAGATAACCAAGTTGAAACTTAAGAGGAGGGACACACCTGTATCACCAAAGCAGCTCTCTGCTCTCTGATAACTGAGAAATAACGGCGAGCGATAAATCCTCGAATACAGGATTGAATAAGAAGAGCTGCTGAATGAGCTTGCTGGTAAGTCCGATGAAGCCGCCATCTCCGGACATACTTCTGAACAATTATAGCAGCCGCCATTTCTCTTTTAACCATATACATCTTCCTTGCCAAACAGCCTGAAAAGTCATTAAAATTAGCAACCAGAATGTAGCAGCAATTTAGCATTGAAACCAACAATATACCATAATTCATGGAGGAATTAATATAACAAAGCAACAGAAATTTTACCTCTGCAATATGATTGTATAGAAATTGAAGCCTCCCTTGTTTTAACAAATTCTTTGCGTGTAATGAATGTTCTAAAACGACCTTGAATGTGGCGTGCAGCGTTCTCCAAAACTTCAGCATGACGCATATTTAAAATTGTGATTTGACCAGCTCTTAGGAAAACCTTAGTGCTACCAAGCTATTAAGTAAAACAAAGTAACCATCAATAAATTATAGTCAGTTTTCTAACACTGAACAGTATAAACATAGAAAAGTACAAGACGGCAACTATCAATCACTTCAGTTGGAAACAGAATGAAAATCTGTGTGCAAAAATCACTACTGGAATCAGGCAATATTCGTTTATATAAACAAGAAATATTAACATAAAATTTGTTGAGTAGATTACTTGAAAATTATCAAGCTTCATCTTTTCAAGAATTCCCTTTGTCAATGATTACCCTGCCATTCACTGTCGTTACTACGGGTACAGTGTGATGCCTCCTCTATATTACAGGGGCCACCGGGTTAAAGAGTTGAACACCAACTTTAACCTTAGCACTCTTACAACTTTAGCAACGACTGTAATCTTGTTGTATTGCACATCAATTCAGTACTGTGTTCAGTAAAGTGTTTCATCTACCCTACGTGATCCAGCTTATCTATTTCCATGGAAGTACAAAATAGCTGGACCTATAAATAGGGATGAAAACGGATCAGAAACGGACAGAAACTAGCTTTATCATATTCGTTTTTATATTTTTTTTTTCGGAATCGGAATCGGAATGGAAAACTCGGATATAGAAATGAAATTGAATATTATCGAATACAGATACGGAGCGAATACGAGACGAAACGAATACGGCAGCGAATATTTACCGGTATATAAAAAACCCCTCAAATTGAGTTTCTTAATCAAGGAAGAGATAACGCTTATTATTTTAGTTCAACATCTCCAACATTTATATCATCAATTTTGTAGACGGTCCCACAACCATATATGAAAATTGATTTTTATGGTTGTTCCTCTAAGAGATCCATATGCAAATATGATTATCATTTTTTTATTCCAAAGACCTTTTACTAGATATATAACTTAATTACTTACCATTGTATAAATTGGAGATGTTATTTATTTTATTTCACATCTTCGAAACTTGTAATATTTGTTTTATACTTTAAATGCTTTTAAATACAAATGTTATAAACTACAAAGTGGGTAGATCCCGTTGAGCTCTACAACTTTGATATGGAACACATCTACAACTTTGATATGGAACATATCTCCATCAGATATCGTTTGAATTGTAGATCTGAAATTTTATAAAAATTAATATGGTATATTATAATGAATATTTAGACCCTTAAATGACCCCAAATAATAAAATAGTCAATAAGAAAGTTTTAGATCTCATCAAGCTCTACAATGTTGATATAAAGTTTTTCTTCATCTGATTCTGTATGAAAAAGTTGTGTATATATACGTGTTTTTTTCTAAAATTGCTCAATGTCTGCGGATATCCGAAAAAAATTCCAGATAGTTTCCGACTGTTTTCCGATTCCGACGGATAGTACCCTTACTATATTCGTTTTCGTTTCCGAGAAAAAAAAATCCGAATTCGTTTCCAAATCCGAGAATTTCCGGATAGTTCCGACCGAAACTATCCGAATCCGAAAAATGGTCCGGACGGACGGAAACTATCCGAACCAGTTTCAACCCTACCTATAAACATGCTTTCTACTTAAGACTCTTGCTTGTAAGTTGTGGATTAACATCTATTATTACTTCAACCATCACACAGATTAATTGTCTTCCATGCACACTAGTGCTGCATAAGTTACTGGAATAATGGGCCTACACAACTAATAATTAATCGATTTTGCTATATCTCACTCGAAAGATTTTTTCTTATCTCTCACTCGATTTTCTCACTCAAATTTACAGTGCCTTTTCTTATAAGTTACAGTGTAATTTATAAAACTTACACTGTAACTTTTGTTAGTTACACTGTAATTTTTGAATCTTCGCATGTAAATTTTAAATTTTGTATTGGATTTGGTCTTTTTCTTGAGGATATGGTAATTTAGTGTCCATTATGGTGTTTCTTAATTGCTTTTTGCCTTTTATTATATCTATCGGATTTTAATCCAAAGATTAAAAATCTATGTGATACGATCATAAAAATCTTTCGAAAGATGTATAAGTACTCCCATAATTAATATGTAACGCCACCGCCCATCTGTTCTGGATGCCACCAAAACTGGAAAATGATGGGCTTGTTTGGATTGAAGCTATATTTCTCAACCTTACCCAAATATTCGCAAGCCAAACATTTAGGAATTTTATGCTAAAATTGTTCTACCCTTGCCAAAATATTGACATGCCAATTTTGGCAACAGACAAAATGAGCTTTGTGGGTACTTCCATCATCAAATTCTTTGATGTGTTTTGAGAATGGCATTGAATCAAACGCACCCGATATTTCCTGCGTCCACACTCTCACTGACGCTAATCATCATCATATCATGAACAGGTGAGTGTCTACATTTCCATCTTCACTGCTTAAAGACAAATTTAGTGCCAAACAAAACTAGTGCTCTTCCATCTCTACCCTACAGAAGTTGGGTAGTGCAAATATTAACAAACGAACCGGCTTGAATGACCGAGTCAGTTGTTTTTTACAGTACCCAAGAATCACATCTTCGGTTTTTTCCCCACTTTTAGAACATAGAGATAATCAGTTCTGCTTCCAAAAACGGCCGTATATCTTAACTTGGGAGGCCATCACGTTTGTGGTGTTCTATACAAGTATATAAAAGGGAAAATAGCTAATATGGTCCCTAAAGTTTCGCTCCTAGGTCATTTTAGTCCTTAATCTTTTATATTGTTCAAACAAGTCCTTTAAATTTGTCATCTAGGCTAATATAGTCCTTGGTCTCACCAAAATCGCCACATGGACATGCCATATCACCTTCTTATGCAAAATCTATATGATTTGTCCAATTTACCCTTACGCATAGGAAAATAAAAAACAAAAGGAAAATTTTTAAAAAATATATGGTATATGTAAGAGCAAAAATATACCGAAGTATTTTTTTCCTATGGTTATGTCTAATTCACCATTATATTTATTTTTCTATGATATATGTAAGGGTAAATTGGACAACTCATCATAGATTTTGAATGAATGATGACATGGCATATTCATATGATGATTTTGGTGGACCCAAGGACTATTCTAGGCCTTATGACAAAGGTTAAGGATTTCTTTGGACCATTTAAAAGGTTAGGGACTAAACTGATCATACAGACAAACTTTAGGGACTAAAGTAGCTATTCTCCCTATATAAAAATACCACATCATTCCAAAAATATAAGGCGCTGTTGATTTTTCGTATATGGTTTGATATTTCGTCTTATTAAAAAATTTGGTATAAATATGTAAAATTTTAAGTTGAGATTGTAGTTTCTTTAATGACAAAACAAATCACAGTAAAATAAATAATATTTATATATTTTTTATGAAACGAATAGTCGAACATTATGTGAAAAGTTTACGGAGTCATATATATTTTGAAATGGAAATAGAGAGAATACAAAATAGCAGCTGCATCCAGATAGATATATTGATCATGGATTGTAAGTTAGTGCATTCACAACTAACTGAAAAATGATATGTCGTGCACTGCACTGCCAGTATCCAGTAACAAATCAGGAGCAGAGGAGTGTCTCGAATGTAATAATGCGTGTAATGATCAGGTAGAGGTTGGTCAAGGAAAGCGGCAAAGTATTCATTAAGGCTGGAAAAAAGTTCTACTAAGCTGTCTAGAATGTTCATGTTTGTCCTTTAACTGTTGGAAATATAGTCATATATCGGCATATTTTAATCCAAAATATTAAGACAATAATTATGGCATAAAAAATATGAGGTGATCTAGTGATAAAATTAAACATAACCAGGAGCATGCTTAGGATAAAATAAGTATCATCATTATGGAGAGAACGCAATAGTATTGCGACTAACAGAAGCAACAAAGATCATGGTAGAAAGTTATACCCTGTGAAAGTCCCTCTGCTGGATTGTGAGGCAGAACTGCCTCCGTTGGTGTTGTCGATCGGTGCGCCAGCTTCGGGTGCGCCATCTCCAGGTGCGGGTGCGGCAGCTCCAATCATGGTGATGCAGATGAACGGATGACAAACTGAGGAAGAGGAGCAGTCGTGCGGAAGCACTCCCCAAAAACCAACCCGGTGCAGATCTCAGGCGAAGGTGTGGTTCCGGAGGCCCTGCTCGTTCCGATCTCTCGTGCGTGCAAGCGATCAAAACTGGGGAAGACCGAAGCAGCACAAGCGCGAGGAGGAAGAACCAGCGATTTGGAAACTAAGCGATGAGATCTGAACCAGCGATTTGGAAACTAAGCGATGTGATCTGATCGGGGTACTCTATTTCCTAATAGCGCCGGAGAGGAATCCGCCCGTTGCTGCAGTAACGTTACGACGCTATCAATCACATTGAATCGGCTATCCGTTACAGAGGCAATCTCGCGGGATTGAATTCCGGTCCGTTGCAAAAAAGGAGAGAGAGAGATGCAACGCATGCCTCGCCCACGCCCACGCCCTCGGCCCGGCTCGGCGCGCGCGCGCGTGTGGCTTTCCGATCCCCACCTCAACCTGTCAACAGGGAGCCTCCAATAACTCCCTATTTAAGTTGAGGTACTCCTCTTTTAATTCCCAGGGTGGTATTATTATCCTTAACATTTATTATGGGCCCTTGAGATTTAATAGAAAAATCTGGCCTAGCTCATTTATTCTAATAATCCCCACCAAATTTCATGGCTCATAAGAAATGTTCTCAAAGTTGAACCTGTTTGATATACCAGTGTTTTGGTAGAGACTGTTAAGTTGAACTTCCACCTAGGAAATGAGCTACATCAGACCACAACTGAACAATGGACTATGCCTTGAATTGTTAGTCTTGTGTGATCAGGTTTCACTCAAACCCTTGACTGGTACTGGGATGCCGTTTGCATCTCTGTTTGGAGTATATAAGTCAAACTCCAGGCCCTTTCATGAGTATCTAGAGATCGCCCAAATCTCATATACTGTGACTAGCAGTCGAACTCATATAGTTGTGTTCCTTCTGAGATGTTCTGTAGGTCAACATCTCTGCTTAGAAAAGCCACTTGGACCACATTAAGGCATAAGCCATCCTACCATGCAGAATAGAAGAGAAATACATCATGAAAATGAGCCCTTTTCAAGGGTCTCTTCTCTCAGCCACACAATAGTTTGTTTAGCCATCCAAATTCACGGGATCTCCGATCACAATGGACAGGTTTCTACTATTGTGCAACCTTAGGTGGGTATCAAGCCCATTTCCCTTGATGCAATGTCTATCACATTACGTGGTAGCCCCTTGGTAAACTGATCTGCCAGATTTTTAGCCGTTTGGA